GACCCTCCTGGATGCGGTGCTGTGCAGCCTGCTCTGGGTGACCCTGCTTGGGCAGGGGGTTGGGCTGGGGGACCCACAGAGGGCCCTGCCAACCCCTGCCATTCTGTGATTCTGTGATTCTGTGAGGCTGAGGGGTGCGGGCTCACTGGGCGGACTGTGTGAGTGATTCCTGACCTTCAGACCCATTCTGGTTTCCAGTTAAGCCGCTCCCTGTCGCAGCCTGAGACCAGTTGGATGACGGGCGTGTTAGTGCGAGCTCGGATTTCACAGCCGCTGCAGTCCCTAGGTCCCGTGGGGAGCTGCGGGATCGCAAGCTGGAAACACGCTGGAATTCAGGAACTCCTCTCTCTTCTGCCCTGTGGAATTCTGCTGGTTACTATTAATTCTTTTTTAAAAACGTCCCCTGTGGCCTAATTCTGCTTGAATCTCAGCAAGATTGTTTTACTGGGTCAATATTTGTACGCATTTTGGTTTACATACAAGTAGGAACGATAGGACTTTAATTATGGCTGGATTTTCCTGTGACTTTGCATTGTGCATTAATTAGTTGGACACAATTCCTGGGAAGCTGACTATTCAGTTTAAGAAAAAAAAAAAATCATTACAAAGCTGAGTATGTAGGATGGGTTAATTTGCAGGGTGCATCTGAGGCCTCTCCATGTTCTAAACAAGGAGAAACAGAACTTTAAAGAGAGAAATAAAGCAAATACGCTTCTGAAACTTTCACGAGGAGAAGAATTGTATTTTAAAACCTCAAGCTGGGTGAGGTGTCCAGGGGTGCTGGTGGTGCCTCAGCCGAGGCGAAGGGATCTGCTCTTCGCTGGAGGACCTTAATGAAGTGGAGAAGTGTTTAATAGAGCTTTTTGTGAGCGAGGGAGCTTCGGTGCTCGCGGGTGGGTCGGGAGCTGTGTTTTAGGGTGGTGCTTTCTCCCACCCGTGCTGACGAGCGCATGCCTCCCGCGGGGAGGGTCCGGATGCAGCTGGAGGCTCTCGGTGGCCGCAGTCCGGCGGTCCGGTCTCGGGGCAGGGTCGGTGGGCCTGCCCTGTCCTGTTCACGCTCTGGTACCTCTCTTCGTGCTTGCTGTTTGTAAATTGTGGCGCTTTGTTAGTGCCTGCAAACGTTCAGCACAGGAATGATGGGATTTACATCATTTGCATGGATTTTTCATGATGTTCGAAACGCGCTAATTAAGTGACGCTGTGAGGCTTTAATCCCTGGGGTGGGCTGGGGTGGAATTTAGGAGACCTGAGGGTTGTCCAGCTGTCCTCATCTCGCTGCTGGCCAGAAAGGCTGGGCAGCAGCTCCCTCGGTTGTCTGTCATTCCCTTCTCCTGGCTGTCTGTCCTCCCTCCTCGACCTGTTTCGTCGCGGAGGAACCTTGTCTAACCAGAGTCTTAGGCAGCGAGAACAGGGCTCGACCTGCCGATTCACTAAGCCCTGATGCTCCAGATGAAGCCACTTTCCAGTTGCAATGTGGACTTCTCTTCCACGTTGTGTTAAGAGACACAGCCTGCCAGCTGACCAGCCCGTATGAAATGTTCTGGATATGGAGGCGAATGCTCTGGGGGTTTTCAAGGTTTTCCCTTTTGCTCCCATGATCTGTCCTGGCAGGGTTTTACTGTGCCTGGCCGCCGCTGCTGTCTCCAAGAGGGACTGTTTCTCTCAGGGATGTCCTCACTGTTGCATCTTTCCATGTTCCTCATCGAGTCGACGTCTCTAGGGAGCAGAAGGATGCAGGCCACGTAGATTTGTGTAGTCCTCTCAGATCTCTCTTTCAGTCTCTGTTCCTCTTTTAGACAGAACGTCTCAAGGTTGCTTACTTCCAAACTAAATCTGGAAGAAGCAAGGAAAGTATCTTAATTCCTTACTCTGTCATGTATCCTTTTCCTGTTATTTTTTTCACAGCACTGCAGCTGGTGACCTCGGTGTTCTGTACAGCTTTGTCCTGTACCAGGCAGGTTTTTCTCTCCTGCTTGCTTCTTCTCAGTTCCATCTACCCATCCTAAATTCATACAGCAAACGTGTTCCCAGTACGTGAAGTGTGTTTGCTAACAAATTAGACCCTAACTTTGTCAGTTTGGGTTCTTTTTTGCAGAAAGTAGGTTTTAACAGACTTGGATTAATGAGTCTTTTCTGCCTGGTCAAAACTCGCTCTATGCCTTTATTCTGATAGGAATGCTGGCGACAGAAAAGAAAACCAGACCCCGCGGCGTCGATCCAACTCTGCCAGCCCCAGTCCCCGGCGGTCGAGGTTCACAGGCTCTGGCTATGCTCTGCGCCGGTCGCGGTCGCGGTCCAGGAGCCCTGGCCGCTTCAGGTCAACAAGGCCGAGGAGTCGAAGCCCACGGCAGATGCGACGCCTTAGCCCCAGACACCGGTCCAGGTCACCGCAGCGCTCCAGAAACCCGCTAAGAACCAGTTCGCGACCTCAGAGGTCTTCCAGCAATGACTGGGCATCGAGGAGGTCAACCCGGTCTCAAGGTACGGGGGGTGGGTACGCGCTGCCAGGCTGACACTTCCTGTAATTTTGGGAAAACCGAGTGGATTTCAAAAGGTTTCGCTGTCCAGGTGCCACCTGGGCGTTTTTTGTAGCAAAATTCTGTTTCTAAAAGCAGCTTTTCCTTTTGCTGTTGCTTTGTGAGAAGTAGGCTGGGGGAAAAAAGGGGCATGCTGAAAGGCCTGAAGCCTTCCTCGTGTGGTGTCAGGAATTGGGCAAGGGTATCAGATACCTGTGGAACCAAGTGTCTGTTCCAAGCGTGCTCAGTGTTTAAGCCAGTCCGGACAGTCAAGAACTGAAGACAACGGAAGGTTCTCCTTCCTTCAGCACCAGAACAGGAGCTCTGTGAAGGCAGTGTAGATGAGGAGGAGGAAAATTTAACAGGCTGCCCAGGGAGGCTGTGGAGTCTCCTTCTCTGGAGAGCCCCGCCTGGACAAGGTCCTGTGCCCCCTGCTCTGGGTGACCCTGCTTGGGCAGGGGGCTGGGCTGGGGGACCCCAGAGGTCCCTTCCAACCCCGACCATTCTGTGATTCTGTGATTCTGTAAATGCAGTGCTCAGAAGCTGCGTGGAGTGGAGGTTCAGTTTACAGGGAAAGCAGCGTGTTTGGAAAATAAGAGCGTGGTACGTGGAAGACTTTCAGTGAAACATCCTTTGTAAGAGTTAAGTTCATAGAGTCGTAGAATGGTTTGGGTTAGAAGGCACCTTAAAGCTCATCTGGTTCCAACCCCCCTGCCATGAACAGAGACATCTTCCACCAGCCCAGGGTGCTCAGAGCTCCATCCAACCTGGCCTTGCACCCTGCCAGGGAGGGGGCAGCCACAGCTTCTCTGGGCAGCCTGGGCCAGGGCCTCACCACCCTCCTGGGGAAGAGTTTCTTCCTAATCTCTAATCTCAATCTGCCCTCTTTTAGTTTAGAGCCGTTCCCCCGTGTTTGTTGCGCCGCTGTGTGCCTCTCCGTTCAGCTTCTGCTGTTCTAGGAAAGCTGTGTGAGCTTGCTCGGTTCCATGAAGTTCATTCTGAGCTCAGTCTCTGGCTGAAATGCCAATTTGTTTAGAGTTTTTATTCCTTTTTAAATTCTGAAGAGGAAAATACAGTAGAGGGATTTTAAAAGGTTGACTGTTTTCTTTGAGCTGTGTGCTGTGGCGTTTGTGTGCTTTCAGAAAATGAAAAGGTCCAGAGCTCTTGTGGGGAAGAAGTCTGGGAGAAAAGTTGTGGAGGGACGGGCAGTTTCAGAGACCTTCGCAAGGGTAAAAGGGAAGCCATTCTAGTGTAGAATAATGAGGGGAAGAGGCAATTAATAACCAAAATATAAATTTTCCACAGAAAGCAAGCATGCAGGAAATTAATGTTGTATCAGATCGTTAAAGAATAATTTAAAACAGAATGTCAGTCTGTAGGACAAAGAGCAAGACAGAGCAGGATACAGAGTTTAGCAGAAGGCATCGAGGCAGGGAGTACTGCTGTGCATCAGTGTGTGAGAGGAGGATCAGAGTCCTGAAAACTGCTTTTCCCTGCTGACGTGCCCTGACAGCGCAGTTACACGGTCGTTCTTCAGCTCCAGCCGGTAGGAGCTGCGTAGATGTCACCGGCCACGTCGCGTTTTCAGTGTAACTAAAGATGTCAGGTTACGTGAGAAGATAGTGAGAATAGTACAGGCTTGGGGTGGACCTGCTGGAGAGCAGCTCTGCGGAGAGGGACCTGGGTGTCCTGGTGGACGACAGGTTAACCATGAGCCAGCAGTGTGCCCTGGCTGCCAAGAAAGCCAATGGGATCCTGGGGTGCATCAAGAAGAGTGTGGCCAGCAGGACAAGGGAGGTTCTCCTTCCCCTCTACACTGCCCTGGTGAGGCCCCATCTGGAGTACTGTGCCCAGTGCTGGGCTCCCCAGTTCAAGAAGGATGAAGAGCTACTGGAGAGAGTCCAGCGGAGGGCTACAAGGATGGTGAGGGGACTGGAGCATCTCCACTACGAGGAGAGGTTGAGGGAACTGGGCTTGTTCAGCCTGAAGAAGAGAAGGCTGAGAGGGGACCTTAGAAATGCCTACAAATATCTGCAGGGTGGGGGTCAGGAGGATGGGGCCAAGCTCTTTTCAATGGTGCCCAGTGACAGGACAAGGGGCAACGGGCACAAACTG